CACGAACATTTGTAAGTAGTGGATTGACGACAATTGCAATATTCCTTCAAGTGTCAAAAAAAAAAAATTATTAACCTGATTGTCAGCACTATCGACCTTTGCGCCATTGTCCAGCAGCGTTATTAATGCTTCCAGCTACAACTGCACTGTATTAGCAAAACGCAGATGAAATTATAAGATTTTAGGAAAGTTTTAAAAAGTCATTCGAAATTTTATTTCTACGAATACACCTACATCTACGCCTACCAACCGTTCTTCGGTGTTTCACAAAACTTCTGAGATGAAGCCAATCGCTGAGTGCGATTACGCCATCACTGAGCGAGCGTATTAGTTTGGCCACCCGAGTGGCCGATTTTCCCTCCGTTACTGCCCTGAGGATCATGCACGTGTAAACATATGCTGAATTCATGAATGATCGAAATTGACCTGTCCGCAGACGACGGCCCAGTGCACGGCAGAATGTCTATCCTTGTCTAAGTGGTTGATTTGCGCACTGTTTTCCAATAGCACCTTAATTGTTGACGCATTGCCGCTCATCGACGCTACTAGTAGCGGCGTATAGCTGCAACTGATAATGTACTAAATATGTTTTCAGTCGATTTTATCAAAAGCATCACCGCTTTCAACGTCCCAAATCGTTTGAAAGCTGATTGCGTCAGTTTTTTATGCATTAGTAGCAAAATGTACCCATTTTGATCCTGGCAATCAATCAGCGAGTTGTTGAGTTCCAAAAGTCTTTTAAATAGTTCGACATTCCCTGTTTCCGCAGCGTAATGAAGCGGAACTCGATCCTCACTGTCTCGTGATGACACTTCATCCTGAAAACCACAGTTGATTCTGAGCTAAGTTAAATTCTATTTTAGTGCTAGTAAAAAGCAAAAATTTCTGGAAATTGTCTTACAGGAGTAAGATCGAGAATTCTTGAAGTACCGATTATATCCTGTTCATCCAGTGTTCGTATAAGTGACATCTTAAAAAATTTTAGGAAATGTTTAGAGTGTTTCGCTGTGTTCCTGTGGAGAATAAGCGCATATGAGTCACGTAAGGAAGGTTTTTTCTCAAAGCCGAAATTGCTACTCGCATTCTTTAGGCGGAAGTTCGAAATTGAATTTTTTTAGACATTACTGACGAATAAAATACCACAAAAGCAAGCATTAATGCGGAAAGCTTAGTATGCAGCATAGCAATTAAATCGAACAAGAAACCGAGCAAACTGCAGAATGTATCAGTTACACGTCATTGTTCTTGCGTCAGTTCTCTTTCATTTTCTTTTTCAAGTTTTCGCCTCCTGTGACAATCATGATTTTCCGTGAAGTGAACTGATCAAAGAGCATGAGTATCAGTATTAAGGAGAAGAAAAAGTATGAGAATAGGATAAATACCGTAACTGAGAGCAAGAAAATTAAAAGCTGGTAATAAATAATGTAGCAACAACAACAACAACTAACAAAACAACAGCAAAATTGATGTTAAGAAAACAGATAGCGCCAATGGTATTACCAATTATTTGGGTAATCATGTGATCGATCACCGGAAATCTGTGTTTTTGTCAGGAAGAACTAAGCTTTCTTAGCTACGAATCAACAAATAACTCTGAATGTTATAGAAATTAAAGTTTTACCAGCTTTC